AGAGACACTGCATTCGGTTCAGAACGTAGTTTTCTTCCTGCTCTGGATAGTGACAATAAATTTGAGGGATGTATTTTCGCCCACAAAATTGTATTTAATTACAATTGTATTTAAAATACCCACGTTTTAGTATATAAATACACATGTCGAATACATTACCCAATTTGTAATTAAATACAAATGCAAAATACACAAAGTATTTGAAATACGTATTTCAAATACTTGTATCTGAAATACTGCCCATCCCTGGTGACAAGCATATGATTGCGACTTTATTTCCTTTTAAAATTTCCAACACTAAACACTCGCGCAAACAGGAAAACATCATAGACCAGAAAATGCCTTCGCCTTGTTGAGAAAGTCGAACATGGAAATTATGCCATCAGGAAGGCGACACTCCAGTTCTGATAGTTTGCGGTCCTTGCTGACCCACTTATGAACCCTGGCTCGCACCCAACTGATAGCAAACGATGGCCGTAGCGGGAAGGTCGTTTTGGGATAGGGCGAGATGCGAAAGGATGAAACGAGAAGGTCGTTTTGAGCCGGGTCTAAACAGGAAGGTACAAATGGGAAGGTTGTATTGGGAATGGGTCGAAATGGGAACCACCCAGCCCACAAGCATGTGCTCCTCACTAGCCTCTCATCTTCCTTGTTTTATTCCACAGTTGGAACTATAAAACTAATCATAAAACAGACATACCTTTGGGTGCAACACAGATCACCACCAGAAAATTATGGCATATCAAAAAGCATTGTCAGAGGGAAGTAGGAGTCAAAAAATCCTTGCCAAAGTGGATGAAATGTTACTTCCTCCCATTGGCTAATTGGAGTATTCTTAATGCAAATATACAATGAACAAGATCAAAACCCATGAGTAATTACTAATGTGAGCTGGTGGAACGCTTTCCCTCAATTCTTTTTGACCACAAAGACCAATGCACTCAAGGCACTGCACCACCCACCAGAAAAATAATTATTTGCAGCCTTTCCGTAAACCGAAATAAAAAGGACAGTGCAATATTAACCTCCCCAGCTGAAACTACTGCAACCATGACTACTCATGTCCAATCCAAGCCTTTAACTTGGTAGGGCTTTCCTTGTCTGTCCAAATCAAGATGGTCTTTTCTTTTAGGTGATGGAGCAGCACTGTTGGAAGAGTCCTGCTGCCCACCGAAAGCCACTGAAGACATCTGGTTTGGATGCTGTCTCTGCACGTATGCCACTAGAGATCAGCATGGGATCATGAGCCACCTGGTTACCCATGGTGATGAACAATTCAACTGCCAGCATCCTCTCATGTCCTCTGGCTCTAGGTCCAAAGTGCACTGTAACGCTCAGCACACAGGGGATAATCCGTACAAGTACAAGCTGTGTCTGCAAGCCTTTACTCAGAATTGTGATCCGACAAGCCATAATCGAAAACACACTGGTGAAAAACCTTTAAAGTGCAAGCTGTGCCCCCAAACCTTTTCCTACCTTTCCATGCTAATAGCCCACAATCGAACACACACAGGTGAAAGGCCATTCAAGTGCAAGCTGTGTCCTCGAGCCTTCTTTCGGAGTAGCAGTCTGAAAAAACATAATCGAACGCATACACGTGAAAAACTTTTCAGTTGCAAGCTGTGTCCCCAAGCCTTTTATCGAAGTAGCCATCTCAAAATCCATAATCGAATGCATACAGGTGAAAGACCTTTCAAGTGCAAGCTGTGTCCCCAAGCCTTTATTCAACATGACAGTCTGATCCTCCATAATCGAAAACATACGGGTGAAAAGCCATTCAAATGCAAGATGTGCCCCCAATCCTTTGCTGTCAGTTCCTATCTGAAAATCCACAATCGAACACACACTGGTGAAAAACCTTATAAGTGCAAGCTGTGTCCCCAAGCCTTTTCTCAGCATTGCCATTTGATATACCATAATCGAACTCACAGTGGAGAAAAACCTTATAAGTGCAAAGTGTCTCCCCAAGTCTTTTCTAGGAGTTGCCATCTGAAAAACCATAATCAAATGCATACAGGTGAAAAACCTCACAAGTGCAAGGAATGCCTCCGAGCCTTTGCTCACAAGAGCAGTCTGCTACGCCATAAACGAACACACGGTGGTGAAAAACCTGAAGTGCAAGCTGTGTCACCAAGGCTTTGTCCAGAATTAACAAATGACTTGCAATAATCATGCACACCTAGGTGAAACAAAGTGCAGGTGTTGCAAGTGGGATCATGCTTTTGCTCGTTTCATCTTCCTTTCCACTTGCTCGAGGTGTGCTCTTTTAAGGTGTGGTCTAATGAGTTTGTAAAAATGCCTTCATTGTTTTTTTTCATTTACCTCTATGTGAATGTAACGTTGCAGAAAAAACATGTGCGACTAGAACTTGGTTTTACCGTGTTTTAATAAAAAGAAAAGGCTGGCAGTTTCATCTCGCACACTGTAGTTTCCTTTCAGCGGTTGCAGGTCTTGGTACTGAATTATATGTGGAGTCATCTTGTAAAAGATTTCTATATTGATGTCCTGTATCTTGCAGTGATCTCAATTCAGCAGTTACCTTGGCGGGGGACCGATTTCTGAGCGTGTAAGCGTCGCAGCAATTTGTGCCCCCCCTTTCCCGATTCGCACATTGCTAGTTGAAAACCCCCTCAGCAGGTTTTGCTATAAATTGAGATTTTAACAATTTTCAATATAGCTTGAAATTCTTTTGCAGGACTGCATTGACGAAGGGTAGAGTGAACTTGGAATCAACATTAAAATGCTTTCCATTTCTGCTCTGGGATCTCCGTCATCATGTGTCTTACGAGACATCTAGCTTTGAGACATCACTCGTGTTTAGGTGTTCATTATATTTTATTCCTCAGTGTTCTTACTGCTGATGATTGTTCTGTATCGCCTGGCCCTCTGCATCAGAATTTTTAGACATGAGTTTTGTCATTGTACACCAGGCTATACCTTCTGCTCGTTTTTTGTGTAACGCTAGTATTTTGGTCCTATGTTTTCCTAATGGCAAACATTCTTAGGCTTATGTGACAGAGCATCAGTCTCAAGGAATACAAATTCAGCCATTATTCTGCTTGGGTTACAGAGCCCATTGAATGGTTGCTCAATATGTGTTTATTTTTGCATTACGTAATACCATAGCCTCCCCTATACTGACAAAGCCCAACAAATAGTCACGTGTCACGGCCGCCGAAAGTAAAAAGTTAGAGTGGCAAGCAACGGATAAGAGGAGAGTCATGTAACGGGCGCCCCGCTGCAGCGAGACGTTGAATCAACCTATACTTTTTTTCCCCTGTTGACGAGGGTAAATGAAACGCCACCCCTTCCCTGTTCCTCCGTTTTGGATTAGTCTGTTTCGTTTGCGTTCAAAATTGTGCAGCAAACTGCCAGGGCGGATTGATTACAGGGTACAGATATTGATACACGGGAACAGCGTTGAGAGGTCAGTATGCAAGATGACGACGTTGAGAGGATGACACACCGGCGACGGCGGTGCCTCAATCTGAGATCTGGGCCTCAGTTCCTCGGAGACGGCAGCTTCAACTTTGGCTGGGTTTCCTCCTTGGAGCCTGATGCTTCGGCCCCAGTGAGGAACAGCGCCATCATGTTCCTGAGGCTCCGTCATGCACCGATCGAACGGCGTGCCAGATCCCGATGGCTTGCTGCTGACCCGCCCAATCCGCCTCCACGAAATCTGGACTTCCACGAACAGCATGCCAGATCTCCATGGCTCGCTGCTGACCCGCCTCCACGAAATCTGGACTTATGCGAGTCAAACTGCCATCCTCCCCAATACCAACTGCCCATGTCGTAGTCATCTTGCATGTGTATACTCATCACGTTATCATGATCACTAGACGTGGCACCGCGGGCCTACATGGTATGGGCTGCTGCCTTTATTCAGTCTTTATTTCTTGGCTCTTTAGAGCCAAGAAATAGACTAAAGACTATCCCCTGCTTGGAGTTTTCGGCGGTCCATGCACCATAGGGCACACAACTGCCCAGACAATGCAGATGGTCCTAAGGACGTCCTCAGCTGGTCTAGACGTCTTCGTCCCGACGAAAACGTCGTCGGGACGTCTGGAACTAGTCGGGACATTCTGGTCCTTTCAAAGACGTCTTGAAGACGTTTTCAGGTTCCTTTATAAAGGAAGACCAAAAAGGTCTTCTCCCGAATGATTTTCAATAGTACAAAATGTTTCCATGCCGGGAAGTGAAAACGAAACCAGGACGAGTCTGAAAATAAGAATTCGTTAAAGGATATCCTTACTAAACATAATAATTGCAGCCGCAATCGCCGTAGCTTCGACTTCAGCAGCCAGTCGCATCAGTTTCTCCCAAGCGAACAGTGTGTTTCGGGGCCTTGCCACTCAAAAGCTGTGCGCTCACTACTTGGAAGACCACCGGGCTCCTGGTGGCCCTACGAGTCGTTTATCGCCGCCTCTCGTCGTTTACCGCCGCCTTTCGTCGTCTAGCTCTGGTGACAACAGAGTGAGCTAGACGTCTCACCGGTGACCAAACATCATAACGCTGAAAATGCCATGGTCCGTTGCAACCACGGTGGAAGAAACATTTAGGTGATGACTCTCTGTCCGACGCGGCAACCTGGGTCAACTGAAGAAGGGGGTTTGAACCACTCGTCGAGGGTGGCTCAACCCCTCCCCACCCAACCCCAACTGGAAAAAAAAAATTATATAAATTGCTTGTGCAGGTGCCCCTGTTAACACTTTTTGGTGCACCTAAACAAGCTGTTAATGAAACGTTCACAAACTGACTGCACTGCTCTGGCAGAGCACATATTTGTGCCACGTGTGTGCTGGAAAGGTGATAAGCAGCCTCTTGTGTTCAGTTGTGCACACAGTTTGCATAAGAAATTAGAAGGATAGGTTTCTCAAATTTCCCCCGCATTTCGGAGGCCTAAGAATGGCAGGGCGAACGTTCTAGGCAGTGCACAAAGGCTGCCATTTGTGGACATCATTGGCCCAGATTTGTGGTGGCTCCAACTCCGACAGTGCCTCATTTCAGCCGTGTTTTTATTTGGCATACTTCAACAATTTCAATATCGTGCACAGTTTTACGCATCACTGCAATAACTGACTCTTATTTACAACTTTTCATAGAAAAATACTTTGCATCCTGAGTAAAACAAACAAAAAACATTGCCATAAACATACATTGGGATGGTATTTGAAATGAATCTAACTCGAGGTGCATTCTCTGCAGCTTGAGGATGAGAACATCTGTACATAATTAAACGGTCATCGTTTTTTTCGTTTTTTTTTAAGCTTGAGCAGGTGCCTTTGAAGGTTGTCTTTGACGTGGCGAAGAGTTTCGGGCGAAACCTGCGGCTCTGCTGAAGGATCTTCTTTTGTTGGCTGATCGGCGTCCTCGGCACCTGAAACGAAATTCTCGTGTTTTTTCATTTTGCTGGTACAGGGTGAGACCATGTGAGCTGGTGTAGCGGCATTCAGGCCAGAGCAGTACAAATGCCATGCTGGGAGCTTTGGGTTCATTTAACTGCTCTTTAATCCAATTCAAAAATAAATTGAAGGCACTTGGGGGGGGGGGACATTGCTTTCTGATCTTTGCTTTGGCACAAGTCATGTTTATGCTTGATACTTATTGTTCCAAATCTTCTCCAACCCTTTATTGACAACGTATACAAAAATTACCTACAACATTCATTTTTTAATAATGTTTAACAAGATCAAATAAAACAACACAGCTGAAGTAAAAAAAAATCGTAAGGTAAACTTGAAAGTTATGTGGAGAGCAAGTCGTCTGCTTCTTGCGCAGGGGTTGCGTGCGGCGACGTCAGAACGGCGCCGACATCAGAACGGCGCCGAGTTCTGATTCGCTCTGATTAAAAGGAGAGTGGGCAGACCTCAATGCCAAATGGCTTGAGGTCTACCCACTATTTTTTTTTTTTAAATCAGACAACAAGAGCTCGGCAATTTGACATCAACGGAACCCCTGTAGAAGAAGCAAACAAACTTGCGCTCCACATAGCTTTGTTGCCTGTGGGCAACACCAGGCAGAAGTCCGAAGGTGGTTCCCTTGCTTAAATATGAATCGCTATAAGATGTTAGTAATGTCTGCGCATACGATAGCCTCAAGTAAAATGATGACCTATCGTAGAATATTGGAGGCCAGAGAAAAATACTTATCCATATTTTTCGCCGTTCTTGATCAATACATATTTTCGCGCAGAACATATTTTTCCTTGTCAACTATTTGCATATCTTTGCACTAGATGGCGCTGTAGTTTCAATCTTCGACGGTTGTTAGACTATTAAAAAAAATGTGATAAAACCAAAACTGTTAAACAAAAGAAAATTATTATGTGGTTTGTTGCCTGTAGGCCACACTCGTCAACAAAGGGGTAAAGCTTCAGGGTGATCTCAGATAAGATCGAACTTAGGGTGGCCAATCAACCTTTTTAATTTGCTTCATTATTTTGTTATTTCCCGATCCTCGGGATAAACAAAATCAATTATTTTCACCCACCAAAAAACATAGATCACGAAGAGGTGAAAAATCGCATTTACGTGCGTAGCCAGAGTGATCAACTTTGGCGATAAACAACGGAAGGTATATTTTCTGAACGAGTTTTATCATTTTCGATTGCAATCTATATATATACTTTACAATGTGATAAAAGTACTACTGTCATTGTTTATTATGTCTTTTAAACATTATTAAAAAAATGACACGTTTGCAACTCCCTGTAATGCGGAATTAGAGCGCAGCCCTTTAGGAGGAGGGGAGGGGACGGTTTGCCTCCCTTCCTCTTTCTCCTCCTCCTCCTCCCTCCTCCCTCCCGCACGGTGCATTATGGAAAATCTCCCATAATGCAACGTGCACGTCACCGCGGTGCAGGTCGGCAATGAGCGTACCTGCTTCCGCTTCCTCGGTATGGTCCTCTTCGAGTCGCCTCGCCAACTCGTTGAGGGAAGACGAGCTGTCCTGACTGGCAGCTTCCGTTTTGTTGCTCGAACCTGGGGTGGGTTGGCAGGATAGCAATCAGTGTTGATGGTTTCGCAGTCTCAAATACATTAGAGGTGATGCAACAGATTTAAAGATTTCACACCTATGAGGTCTGTAAAAGCAAAGCTCGAACCTTGGGCTTTACTGTTGTGTGGCTGTAGAGCTGCGGAGAGTTGGATCTGGCTGGCAGCTGCAAAGGAAGGGTCCGTGTCATTTCGTGAAAACACAATTCTTAAGCAACTTCTAAAAAATAATATATTTTTTTTATTGGTCTATCTGATTTTTTGGCTCAGATGTCCAGTTTTTTATGCTGATTTCATAACTGCAATCAGATTTCAGACATATCTTACTTGTCAAAAGTTATAGACAGAATATAATAACTAATTAGCTCATTTCTTACATGGTTTCAAAATCCAACTAATTAAAATTTCGATTAAAACAATATATCAAGTGCTCCTAAATAAATACCAAGCAAGATAAATCTGTTTTTATCTCTTTAGCACCTTATAATCTAGTATAAAAACTAAAGTAACTGGAAGCCATACAATAAAGGCTCTAATGATGTCCAATTATGAGGTACCAGGTAGTTGTAGCCTACCAAAGTGTAGTTATTTCAATAAAAAATTAATACCAAGTTTAGGAAAATCTGTCTCACAGAAGTGGATCAAAATGCCCATTGAGCCGACGACTATGCTAAAAAGAAACAAAACTGAGAAATTTAATTTCGAATGTTGAGTATGCATATGTAAGAATGTTGGAGCTTTAGACTGGCAGAATGCCTTTTGTGTGAATTGTACAGTAACAGAGAGGTACGGGCTGAGAGATAATCCCCTTATGCAACAATCTGTTAGCCCCTCAAAGGGCTTTTTCGTAGGGGGTTGCTCAAACAGCTATACTTGTGAACCGGGGTCGTTGGCTCTCAGAGAAGCCGGGGCTGCACTCCTTGTCTGTGTCTGCCCCGTGCCTTGAGGAGAGCCTCCTTTCCACACTGGCATCGTTCGACAACTCTTTGTTGGCCTCGTGCAGCCTCCAACTGTCCTTTTCAATGCTCCTCTTGACGAGGGCAGTGCCAGCAGTGTGGCCCAGGCTGCCAGCCACACTCTCGTTTGTGTTCCTCACTCTCTGGTTGAAGATGCTGGCAGCTTCAACAATAGTGAATAGTGATACGTGGGTGTTCTTCAAAACCTGCACTCAGATGACGAAGTGCAGGCTCTTGCTCGAGCTGTGTGTCGTTGCCACCGCTGAACTGCCGGAGCAGGTCCTTGCCGCCTACTCTGGAGAACACTGCTTCCAGTGCTTCTCGTACAAAGCCTGTGAGGGTATCCTTGTGCCACGGGACGCTCGTCATCGGCAAGTGCTCTGTTGTAGAAACACCGTGAGCTGGCTCCCTCGGGACAGGGGATGTGGTCGGAAGACTCGTCGGTGGACGACATGTGGCAAAGGGTGGCTTGCACAGCTCTGCATCGCAGGAACGTCATGGCTGCGACTCCAAAGGCCATAACCGTAGTAGATCGTTACATTCTTCATTCTCTCCCAGATGGGCCTGCCTTTTCGTCTGAGCACCTTGCCTAGAGCCATCTTCTTATCGACAAACGTCCGCAAAGCTGTTCCGATGCGCTTGTGAACACGATTGAGGCAGTCCTTGTCAATCGCCAAGAACCCGTAGATGGCTTCTTCTGTCAGGGCATGGTTCGTCCTGCAGTCGCCGTCAGAAAGAACCGTCGTCTAGTGCAGGCCGTGCTTCTCGAAGGGCCTACTGAACATGATGAGTGCAGCCTCCACCTCCATCTGGCAGTTTGGTTCGTGGTGGGCAAGCCGTGCACTGCATACTTCCTCTTTGGGCCAAAGAACATCCCAGGCAGAAGTTGCGTTGAAATGATCCGGTCGATCATGAGAGCGCGACAATGCAGCCCACACCAATGTGAGATGTGCTGCTCCACGTCTTCCAGGGGCTATTGTACATCTTGTCGATGTTGTTTGGAGGGTTAAGGAAGTCCGCATAAAGGGCCATCGCAGCTTGGACACTTCCTGCTTCAGCTCGCAGGCTTGCATCACTGTGGGCAAGTGGTGTTGGAAGGTCTTGTGAAGAAGGCCTCAGTGAGAAAGGTTCAAGGCTGCACAGAAGTCAGACAGTGCAGTAGACCCTTTTCCGATCAGCCGAATGCCCTTCACAGCTCTCATGTCGAGCTCAAAAGGCATATTTTATGTCTCCGCTCGAGTGCTGGGCAACAAAAGATGCTTCTCGCAGAAGCCGCACGAAGGGCACGTCAACACCAACCTCACAGCCAGCCCGCACTCCCTCTCCAACATAGGTGCGACCAATCCGAACTGCTCACACTTCGTGGTCGCGAAGAACAAATGCGGCACTTTCAAATCCCCGATTACCAACTGCATGCCGGAATCGGTATCTTCTAACCGATTACCAACTGCATGCCGGAATCGGTATCTTCTAACCTTGTGACTGAAATTGAGGAGGTCAAACTTGTACTTTGTCGCAGATTTCGCGGCCAAATCCTCCTTCAACCTGTCAGTATTACGAACTTTCGCTCGGCGAGTAGAAATGCGTTTCGAGTCGTGATGTACCAGGACCAAAGCCGTCGTCTACATCGTCGCTCGTATCGGGCGTGGGCACATCGGAAGATAATGCAGCCGCTGGCAACTCGACTTGCCACGTGTCGGCCGCAAGCAATGTGACTGGCGATGCAAGTGAAAACCATTTCTTGTTCCACACGCGACGCTTTCACTTGCCATATGTGCGTCGCGTTGACCCCTAGGTTGGGCATCGCAATCACTACAAACATCTCCTAAAGACACCTGAGATAAACGAAGCGGGCGAGCGCCGAAAAAAACGCGTTTGTTGACACCAGTCAGAACGTAACAATGTGAGCTTTACCTAGTAGACCTAGCAGAGGGGTGTGGCATATTTCGGGAGAGGAGACACGCGGTTCGACCAATGGCAACAGCGCTCACACCAGCCCGTGCTCTTTAGCCAATTGATAGCTCGGTTTCTTTCTCCTGGGAAAAAAGCGGTCTCTCTAGTTTCCCCGGGGTAGACACCATTTTTAACGGCAGCAAAAGTTTAGACAAAAGAAGCAAGCTTTCAATCGAGGCCAAGGTGGCTGCGAACGACTGCGCAACAGCGGGACACTAAGAATGTGAATTTCGACGTCCGTTTACTCTTTTGGGGTGACTCGGGGCGTATTTCTCGCGACGCAATTGTTGTTTTCTTAATACTTTGGATTTTAATTCTCCCGTGATTTTTTTTCAGAAGGGTGCTTAGAAGTATAAAACACTCAAACATGCCGTTTAAAAAAAATCTATTTTCCAATTTTCTAACTTACGTCTTTTCTTAATCAACGCACATTTCATTGACACTGTGGCATTTTGTGAGAACTCCTAAGCTCACGTAACGCCTCGTCGACAAGACAATTGTTTGGCTAGGCGTATTTACATTAGGTTACCGGCTACGTCCTGTCTGCTGGAAGTATTCCAGAACTATGGCGGGGCCACCCTGGCAGCTCCGATTCAGCAATAACAAATCCTCGAGCCCCAATATTCTGGGCTTCCAAACAGATTGCGGCACGAATGGTCACTCCTCGTTTTGCATCGCCCCTCTTGGAGAACACAAATGGCAATCTTGTGCTCGAGCCCATGCCAAGTCTCGCCGCAACTGACGAGAATTTTGCAAGCAAGGCAACCGTCGGGCTGTCGGCAACCACGACGTGCACAGAAGGACGCCGACGACGAAACTTCACGAGGTGTGTCAAAGAAATGAGCACAAGCACCTTTCAACGAAGCAAGCTGTTGATGAACTGTCGCATGTAGACAAAACAATGTATCGATAAACACCATTAGACAAACTGATCACCGCCAGTGAAGAAACCTTTTGAAGACTGGAAAGATGTTGCAGACAGTGTTTCACGTGACAGTGCTTCATGTGACAAAGTTTTACATGAGTGTTTTACATACCAGGAGCTTCCCTTCGCAGTGCCCTCCGGTAGCACATCAGCATTCTCAAGTCAGGTTCGGGTTCGTTCGGGAGGCTCTGCACATACTCTGTATGGGCGTCTGTGAAAGATGGCAGACCTGAAAGAATGACCACGGCTATATTTTTTTATTCTTTTTTTTTTTTTTTCACTTTTTAAATTTTGTGCGAGTGCAACAACCTGGACGTTGCGCAAAATCAATCCGCTTGTTTCATCCTCAGTAACTCGTCAGACTGCGTCACTGGCGTGGAATCCAACCCATCTTTGCCCAAGCTTGCTTTGCGTTGAAAAATTTCTCGATTGACCCTCTTTTCTATGATCTTTCGCGCTAACCCATCGCTTGCTCCACGTCTTTTTACACTAGCTTTCTATGCTTCATCCCACCCTGATCGTTCTTATAAAGTAGGCATACCAACATGCAATACCTTTCACCGATCGTTATTTAAAAAAAAAAACACTCCGACTGGAACTATTGTTTTTTTTCGGTTGCCACAATCCGGATCTATCACCGGTCCAACGGTCCAAAATCTGAAGTAGACAATTTTTGAACTACAAAACGAGTCATCACTTTCGCATTTCTTGTCTGGCGATGGACAAGATCTTTTGCTGCAAGATTCTTGCTGTTGCATCCTTTTCAACCATAGGCAGGATTGGAACTGGGTTGGCCAATAAGCTTCTTTTATGTTCAGAATTGACCCAACCAATGGTAACAATGCTCGATTGTGAGGTTAGATCAAATAGATGCAGCAAAGCTATTTTTGTTCAGGTCTCACTCAGAAATATGTTTAGTACTAGGCGTGCCACAACATTACATTCCTTTTCAAAACCTTTCTTCGTTACATGACAACTCACTGCACATTGTAAGACAACATTTGTGCATGTAGAATGCCGACTAGTAGCAGACAACACTTCCATCAGCTGCTCTGCGAGCTGGCACTGTACAACGCGGTCTTACTTTATTCGAACAGCCTCCACGCAAAGATCTTGAAAAGGCGATGCAGCAACTTTCGTACTATCAGTGAATCTGCTTACAATTATTCCTTGACACTCAAAACCTATGAAACACCCTTTCATTTTTTTCTCCATGCAATGGCAGCTGCAGAAAACAATTCGAGAAACACAAGCAGCATTTATTCCCTCAACTTTCCACCAGAACAAGAAGCCACATGATCTCGAGTCAATTACATGCTGCAAATGTTTACAATAGCCACCTGCTGGGGGTTGGCAAAAGCACAGGGCAGATGCCGAATTCCACACATCGTTAAGGTCTGGCTACTCCCAACATTGCAGCGATTGGACACAAGCCACTACCTGAGTGCACGTCGAGGCATTGACTGTCACAGGCTCAAATTGAATCGTCATGCAGTGCTTGCACCCACTGTATGAGCCGCATTTAACTAGTGTCACCGCGGGGATCTCAAAGCTTGATGAGGAAATCCTGGGGATCGCATTGCTGACAACGCCTACAATGAGGTCCCGGAACTTCGTCATTAGGTTTGGCAAAGAAGAGGCCGAAGGAAGTTTGCTTTTATCTTTGAAATTATGCAGCGACAAAGAAGCCTCTTGGTCAGTGGCGCTGCATGCCCAATATTGTTTGCTTGGTACCTCTTAAGTTTGTCCACGTTACTGCAACACGCTCCACTTTCGTCAATGCGTTAGATGCTCAAGAAAAGCACAGCGATTTAAATGAAGTCTCCACGCTACCAGAAGCCGATGTGGGACGATACTTTGCCAACACTGCCCTTTTTCAACAAACTGGAATCTGAAAGAATTGATTTTAAAAGGAGACACTTCACGACACATGTTCTATGGCCGCCAAAGAAAGCACTTGCTACATTAAAGGGGCCCTGCAATGACTTTTTGACTGGTTTCTAATTTGCATTGAACCCGAGCGTACTGAACGTAGTAACTTAATCCAACTTTTCTTTTCTCAAATTTCGCTTTATTTTAAAAGTTATAGGAAAATTAGAATTACAAAAACAAGCAAAAAATAACCTCCTTCATGACGTCGTAGGTCCTGGCTTGAGTGGCCTTGAACTAGAGGAGGAGTAGTGAGCTCATCGAGCGCACACGGCTGCCGCACTCCGTGTCGACGTCTCGAGAGGGCGCCACTAAAGCACGTGTTGGATACGCTGTATGAAGCGGGCGGCCAGGGCAGCTCGCATTGCATTTGCTGCGCGACTAATCACTACCGTAATATCCCGAGTCATCGCCCATCCCCGAGCCATCGCCCACCCCATTTTATGGGCAAATATCGATTTCCGGAAAAACACCGAGTCATCGCCCACCCCTTCAAATACCCCAGCGCGGCCTCTGGGATCCCCGAACACTCATCCTACCCGAATGACGCGGCCGCGGACCTTACAGTTGGAGGACGTCCGTGACAAAGTAAAACGAAGGAGGGAAAGACACTTTTTTTGTTTACGCATTTCCTCCGTGAGCGACCCCAAAGTGGTCGTGTATCCGTGCGAAAAGAAAAAGAAGGAGATAACAAAATAAGAGTTTGTTAACGTAACCGCGGAGTGTTAGGTCAAAGTCTGTCTCCGCCGAAGTAAGGTCACCGCGAACCCGCTCCTTCTTCCCGCCCGTCGCGACCGCTGTTGTGCAATATTTTAGGCAAAGCCAAAGCGTAAATAAAGCTTTGCTGGAACGTCCTACACAGACGTTTACAGAGCGTCCCAACCGTGCATTGATAGCCCGCCGTGCACGGACGCACGTATGTACGCACCAAACAAGAAAGTTGCGCAAGAGCTTGCAATTGACAAGGCGCCCGACTTGGCCCGACGCCAAAGTATTTGCCAACGCGACCACCGGCGTTCCCGCTTTCCCAGCATTGCTCTTGGTCGCTTCTTTGGTCCGCTCGCTCGCTCGTTGCGCCTGGTCGGTTTTTCTATTTTCTTGTAGACTTTTCTTTTTTTTTTTTTTTTACTAACTGGGAGAACATAATGGTGACGTTCTTTCACGGAACAAACGTTCGTGCTATATGCAGATCGGCGGTGTTTCTAGCGCGTATGCAAGCAACGGACTTCGCTATAGTAAAATATTCTTTCGTGAGCATTTTTTTTCTATAAAACAATGAAACTAAATCGAGTTTTGAGTTTGATGTATCTCTTGTGCATCAGCGCTAGGTACGCAGAGAAAAATAGGCGTTTTTTTCCGTTTTTTTTTCAAGTGTTTGTGCTCACCCACCGAGACATGGCCCACCCCACTTTTTTAACAAATTTCAGGCGGTTGGGGGGTGGGCGATGACTCGGGATATTACGTAATTCGGCATAGCACTTCATTGGCCACAAACAACAGCAAACACGGGGTAAAGATCAGTTCAGAACGGGAGCCACTTCTTGCTGACGCACCGCCAAATGGCCAAATCGCCAGCAGGGCCCGCGCCGAAGGCCTTGGGAATGCTCGGAACCGGTCGGATTCTTGAGCCGGTATACGACCACAGCGCCGCCGCGTACATCCGGGACTTTTCTATGCTCCTCGTTCGTCGTAGCCTCATCCCACTAGCCTTTTCTAGTATGCGCCGTTTTTTTCCGCCGCTTGGTGGCGGGTATGTCGACGGGTCATTTGTCGTTTCCGTACTTTCTAAACTGCATTTGTTTCTTTTCTGATCTAAAATAGTGAACAAAAACTACTTTCATAGATAATTGAAACGGTTCGCGACACTTTTATTTTGTATCTCGACTAAAAAAAAGCTCTTAGCGGCTTTCACCAGTGGCAAGCCCAGGACCAAAGACGTCACATTTTGCGCGCTTTCGGTACCGCGGGTCGCCGTCGTCGGTGGAGGAGGTTTGCGCGTCGTCCGGTTAAAATATGACGCACTGATATTTAGTTATTCTCTCCGCGCCCGTTGGCTTGCCCGAACCCCAAGAGACGTGGAAACCGCAAAAAAGGTAGATGCTTAAATATGATTGCAGGGCCCCTTTAAGAACACCCGTTTGTCATCGGTGAGCACTAGCCACTACAAAAATAGAGAAACACCCGACGATTCTTCATGCATTGTGCAGATGCCTAGCAGGTTAGGATTTTGTTGACGGCAGCTTCTAAAACCTAAGAAATGTCCTTGCCAACATAGCGGCCTGTTTGAGTTCTCGAGCTTGACGAAGGTATGTTTTACACTTAGTATACAACTGATAATGCTCCTGGCGCAAGAGCGTACCTTCATCTATGGTTTTGTTTATGCAAGAATGCATTCAAAGGATGGAAATACCAATGCAGACAGTTTTGTGCTTCAAATATTCTATAGGTAATACCAGCAGACCTTGTCACTGATATGACCTTAAATAGTGCTTGACAACACGTGGTTTCGTTAATGGACGACATGCGGCAAGACAAATTGAGCAAACTGAGAGCAGCCACCTTAAGATGTACACAAGGTCAATGCATCAGCAATAAGCATACCTGCTTTCGCTACCTCTGCTTGGTCTTTCTCGAATTTTCTTGCCAACTTGTTGATGGAAGACAGGGAAGACGAGGATTTTTCCTGGCCAGCAGCCTCCGTTTCACTCCTTGAACCTGGGGTAAGTTATGAGGGTAACAATGTTGATCATTTCTCAGTCTTAATTACCTCAGAGGTAACTCGACATGACATTTTTTTTTTATCCTTGGAGAGCAGGGAAACAGAAGGACAGGACAACACAGATGTCAGTTCTTCACTAGCTAGCATGAATCCTTGCATTGACTTGACATATATATAGGGTGCCTGAGGTCACCAGGCTCAATCTAAAATGGGCCGTAAAAATTGGGGCCTGCACGTACCAATCAACTTTTCGTGAAACGTGAAGTTTACAGGTCTGTTTTATCATGCAAAATTACAAAGCATAGTGCCATTTCCGTAAAGAAAAGGGCCAAAAACTTGCCAGGGTCAATGGCGGGCGGCGACGAAGACAACCAAGTCGATTGGCGGGGTGCGTTTCGCACACGCATTGGTAGATGGCGTTGGGAGCAGCATCGAAAGGTCCAGCCAGCGAATGAAAGCAGACGACACGCAGACGAAATCTGTCAGCAGCAAGAGCGCCAACGTTAAGCAACCATTTTTTTTTTACTTCAACTTTTGGTACATTACAAAAAGACTGTTTATTTTAGTAGACCACGGTCGTCGCGAGCAGTCTCAATAAGTAGGTAGCGCCATCTATCAATATGTACGCCAAACGCATCCCCCAACTCAACTCGGTCGTCTGCGTCGCCGCCTGTCGTTAACCCTGGCAAGTTTTTTGGCCCCATTTTTTAGAGAGGGAGCTACATTTTGTAATTTTACATGAAAAAGCCGACCTGTGAAATACACCTATGACGAAAAGTTTAAATTGCTACGTGCAGGCGCCGATTTTTACGGCTCATTTGCATCGAGCCTGGTGACTTCAGACACCTATATAACGTTTCACGCGACCGTGATGTCAGTAAAAGCTAAGCTCGAACCTTGGGTCCCACTGCTGTAGGGCTGCAAAGCTTCGGACGGCTGGGTCTCGCTGGTACCTGCGAAAAAAGGGTCCGCATCATCCCGTGGAGACAAGTTTTTCACACAACTTTCGTCGACACTGACATTTTGTAAAAACTCGTTCGCTCTCGCGACATTTCGACAATAATGTTCTTGCTAGGTGCACTGAATTGTACGACTGGCTACACCTCATTCACTAGAAGGATTCCAAAATTATAGTGAAGCCACCCAGGCAGCTCCAACATAATACAACAAGAAATCCTCAATCCCTAATTTTAGTTTTTCAGACGGCACCACACGCGGTCACCTCTCGCTTCGCTCCGCACAGGGAAAACGAATCATAATCTTAGGGTCAAGCTTGTGCCAGGCCTCGTGTGAACCACTGAGGGTTCAGCAAGATAGGCAACCATCGGGGTGTTGGCGGCCGAGGCGATGTGCACGGAAAGAAGCCGTCGACGAGGCGTCGCAACATGTCGAGGAAATGAATGCGGGTACCTCTCTACGAAACAAAATGCTGACGAATGTTGCGCGTCAACGAAACTGTCTGTCAATGAAACATTCGACAAACCGATTGCCACCGGTGGTTCCCTCTGCAATGCCCTCCGGATGCACATCAGAACTCGCAAGTCGGGGGCAGGTTCGTTCAGGAGATTCGGCACATAGTCCGGATGGGCAGCTGCGTGAGACGGCTGATCTGGAAGAAGGACCACGACGAAATTTTTTTTCTTACTCCTTAAATACAAGTAGAGCCCAAATTCATTCATCAATGTGAGAAAAGTCTAAATGCAGTGGTCAACATTCCCGAAGTGTCGTCACTGCCCTTCAAGGGGATCGGTAACCAAGCGTGTTGGTGCACCGCAGCTCTGAGCATCTATAACTACTGTGTGAAGCACATTGAAGGCCCAAGGCTAGCAGCAGTACTGCACAGGCTAAATTTCTCATCTACGTCGGGGTAATTCCATGCCAAAAAAGACATGGCAATTTTTTTCATGTTGAGAATATGAATGAAAATATAATCTGGCTTTTGAATGCAACAACAAAAAAATTGTGAAAAAAAGAATTATTTTTGCTGGTGTCATGCCCTAAATTCCTGAAATTTAGATAAACCTTGATGTCATTTAGAAATACAGAGTAAAATAACTGTTGCATACCACAGATATTTATGTTGCTGCCTAATTACAGATTAATAAGTACTATTTTACAGTAAAATACAAACACTGAAAAATGCCATTTTTAATTGAAAAAAAAAAACACTACAATTTTTCTTTTTATTTTAGTTAGCTAGGGGTAGTTAGCTACAATACTTTTTTGTAATTTTGAAACTAGTAATTGATCTGCCTGAATTAAAATTTCAAAGCCTCGTTTTGTTGTGCTTTAATTAAATGACAAAGTCCCCAGTTTACGCAAAAATGGTCATATTGCCATGCGTGCCTCTGAGCAAGCGGGCTGGTGACTGAATGGTTATCATGCTTGGCCTTCACGCAAAGGGCTGAGGTTCGATGCCTGGTTGCGGATGCACCTTTTTGTTGTTTCTGTAAATGCCGCATTCTCGTAAATTTGAGAACCCCCTTGCTTGTTCGGTCGTCCGAACGTTCTACGGACCAAGCCCTTGCTTTTTAGCTGACACTGATGCCTGCGACACTAGCCTTTTTCTATTTTGTTTTGGGCACAAGTTTGCCCCATTAAACAGTCAGTTTCCGTCAGTCACTCGTCGCCTCATCAATTGTCATTCGTGACAATATAGAGAGTAAAAAAAAAAAAAAGCAATGTGGGCAATGGTGACCGCAATTTCGGAAACATCTAAAAATTAGATCCACCTCACCGAAAGGGAAGCAACGACAAGCACAAAAGGAAGTTATTGGAGCACAATCCAGGTCGCTGCAGCTCAATGGAGTTTCCTTGGCCAAGGGAGTGCCTGTGCTCGCGCGAGCATGTATGTGTTGATGCATTTTCATATCAGGACCTCCTGAACCGGCGATTTCCAAAGATGGTGAATTTAGCAGGTGATAGCAGATCTATGAATTGCCCCAAGCACTATTCAAGCGTAACAATAACCCTGTATAAGTAAGCCAATGAGCGAAGTACAATGACGCTTTCCACAAAAGAGCTTTTAGCGGCGCATTTATCACATCCAAAGTTAGCAAGTAGGGCTCTCGGAGGATACAAAAAAATTTCATTCTTTTGTACAGGGAAAAACAGAAACAAACTGTACGGTTCATGCCACTACTAACAGACAAGCTTGAATCTGCTGCATCTGCCACTAAATGTTCTTTCCAAAAACACTTTTAAGTTTTTTGGTTCTAATATGATGCCATCTGACAGTGCCAGCAATAAGCAGACAGCTTACTTTCATTTTTTTCCCCTGTGCATAGAAAAGAAAAAGCGAGTTTTCCAGCTCGAGTCTTTTTTTGTTTTTCAGAAACCTACACACACAAAATTTAGCTATGATAAACACCTTACCTAAATACACCCTCGTGGAAAGTTCCATTTCACTCCGTTTGTTGGCTTATTAATACATCATATTTTTTTGTGCCCAAATAGTGCTTGAGAAATCCTTGTACGTTGTTTCCAGCAGGGGCCCCCCTTTTGGCAAGTACGCGCTGCAAATTCAATTCTGCGTCGACAGTTTTACCCGCCCAGTAATTTATGACTTTCTCAACAGATGTCGCCTTCCGGTTGCGAAGCAAACAAAGCGAACGACCATGCCGCCTGCTGCTCGGTTGTAACTGTGCTCGCTCACGACAGGTGAACACCCTCAGTCACAAACATGTGAACCAGCCTTTAAGACCTAAACCGCGGTAATGCTGCTAATACACCATAGAAAAGACGACCTGCAAACACTGCATGAGGGACGCTCAGTCTCGTACAATGGTCCTATCACATATTAGCCATACAAGAATTGCCTTTTAGACATGTCCGAAGCATACGTGTATATGAAGCAAACAAGCTTCTGCGCACACGGTCCATGGTAAACATGAAAGTGCCAGATGCCGCTGAAGCAGACGATAGAGTGCTTCAGGAAAGGTTTCGGATGACACAAGACTGCTTTCCAACTGAAAACCGACACCCGCAGAGGAGAAATCTATGAATCGCTGCCATTCGCTGCACAAGCGCTGTTGGTATAAACATTGGTCACTACCACGGTGGAAGAAACATTTAGGTGACGACTCTCTGTCCGACGTGGCGATATGTTCGGCGCACCAAGCGCTTCTCTCACACGGAAATAGATGGCGCCCGAGGATCGGGTCCCTCCCAAACCGACTGCTCCAGTTGTTTCTCCCAGCAGTGGCCCCGCATTTTCTCGCTCACCGCTTCTCGTTTTATTCACGGTGGAAGAAACACATTTAGGTGATGACTCTCTGTCCGACGCGGCGGCAACATTATTTGGCACACCAAATGCGCTGCACTCGCACGGGGATAGATGGCACTCAAGTATGGAATCTCTCCCAAACCGACCACTCCAGTTGTTGCTCGCAGCGGTGGTCCCGCATTCTCTTGCTCACCGCTTCTTGTTGTACCTCATCTTCGCCACGCCGCCACCAAGTCGCCAAAGTCCGTAAATCTGTGTTCTCTTCGTTCTTCTTCTGCGGGTTAAGGCTCACCTTCGAGCACGATGGTGACACCTGTGATCGACACAGCACCAAAGCAAAACACGAGGCCAGCCAGCGGCCGTACATCACCACCGAACCATCACACCGCGAAAAAGGCGAGCACGCTACGCCGCCGACACCGTGGCCGCCGAGGAGGGACCCCATACCTCAGCGCCCTCCGCGGCGGCGCGGAACTAACTACTCCTGGTTCGAGGCTACCTTCGAACACGATCTGGTCGCTCGCTCCCCGCGGAAAGAGCAGCCAGTCATCACCTAAGTGCATTTCTTCCACCGTGGTCGGTACTCCGTCAGTGGGTAACTTCGCCGCGCTGCCGAGTTTGCACATTGCACTTCTACACAGGCGAGTTTCTACTGGAAATCAAAGCAGCCGCTTACCGAAAAGGATTGTGCGTCTCTTGGGACCACTCGTTTTAGATAGTGCAGTGGCGTTGTTCTGGGCGTATTGACGGCTCTGCTTCTTCTTATAATACGATCGTCTACAGGATTCTCTTCTCTTCATACGACCCTCCTCGGTCGCAGAGCGGACTCGCTGTGCTATCCTATTCCTAGCCAAACGCCTCTCCCTCTCCTCCGGAGTCTCTCTGGCACGTCTCGCACGGTCATACTCGACCTCTCTGGCACGTCGCGCACGGTCATACTCGGCAGTTCGCTTCTTCTGCTTCCATTTAGCCATAGCCTCATGCCTGTCGGCTACCCGCGTCAAACGGGGCAATATTCCGGGGTTCCAGCGGTTTCAAGCGAGCTCGAGCCCAGCTGGAAGCGGTCGAGCCAGTCGAGCTACTCGCCGCTACCGCCGCTACAACAATACTCACGTGACCCGGTTGTGGTGGTGGTGATGATGATGATAACTAAACAGAATTAATTGGTTCTGGTATGAAATTTATCGTTTTCGTGACTAGTTTGTTCCATGGAGAACAGTTAGCATTCCTAACGTGTAAACAAACGGTTTAGTGTAATCAAAATTACGAATTTAATGATGATGATAATGTTTTGCAGTCGAGCGTTACTTTTTTATGTAGCAGACGACTTTCAAATATTTTTCGGCTGCTGCTAATAATCGTGTGCGACACCTTTGGCTCTATTTTAGCACACGTCACATTCACAGCTACGATCCATTGGTCTGCTACTGTTGCAATAAGCTTTGCAAATGCTTCTCTGCAAAGCTTTTCTCAGCGTTGTCTCGATGAGACACAACGCCGAAAAATTAGCACCGAGAAACGAGTTGACGAATTGTTCGGAAGTCGTGAAGTGAACTCGAGTGACTACCCACGAGTGTGTGAGGCGGCCACAGGCTACAGCCAGATACATACAGGGTGTCACAAAAGAAAATTTACACGGTCTTTTTTACCGCAAAAATAAACTAGGCATCGCAGAACGCTCATTCTCCGCCCAAAGGTAGAGCTAGAGGTCACAACCAGATGCCAAAGTTTCAGCCCCATCCGATAAGTTAGTCAAAAGTTATTAGTGGTTTTCTGAAAATCTCAATGGGAAAATGGAGCCCATTTTCGCCCGTTTTCGGTTTCTGGTGCCATAGAGCCCCATGTGTTTGAAAATTCCGTCGGCCGCCATTTTCCCATTGAAATTTTCAGAAAATCACTTATAACTTTTGATTAAGTTATTGGATCGGGCTGAAACTTTGGCATCTGGTTGTGACCTATAGCACTACCTTTGGGCGGAGAATGAGTGTTCGGCGATGCCTAGTTTATTTTTGCGGTAAAAAAGACCGTGTAAATTTTCTTTTGTGACACCCTGTACTTGAGAAACTCCGAGCTTTCCTTGGCGATACCAGCAGGCGTCGCACAAAGCCCATCAGATATTATTATCTTAGGTTCATAACATGCACGCACATACAAACAAAGCACTTGTAAAATACACTGAACACAAAAGGGGTCCAACTGCCACTGCCGTGGACTGTTCAGAGTCTGCGGATAAAGACATTTTTTAGGCTGCTCATCTGTTCGGTTGACATACTATCTTTTTTAACACGTGAAACAAGCTTTTTTATAACGTCGGATACGTTAATTCATAGCGGGGCAACCTGTTGAAGGCAGGGACTCGACCGAGACCGAAAACCGATAAGGGAACAATATTCTTTCAGTAACCATAACCAGAACTACACCGTTATTAAAATTTATGAAAGCCGTAATCGTAACCGTAAATTATTTACCGGCAACCGATATTAATTGAAAAATAAAAACGAGTCTTAAAATGTTGTGGCCATCTGACAGAGTTGCCGCCAGTTACCGTCATAACGCTAATATAAAAACTTGACGAATCAAGTGGCGTCGCCCTTTGTGTACAGTGAATCTTTTGCAATGCGACTGTCGTTTGTCCTTTCAGCATTGGTCGGTTTGTAGCTCTTAACTCCACCGCCGACGTACGACCTCGGTCTTCTACAGGAAAAATAATCACCTTAGCCCCTGTGCCCAATCACCTCATAAACAGTGAGGGGGGTAATACGACCAAAGCAACTTAATGCCAAAGAGGGTGTGGGAAAGGACGTATCGAGCAAAATGCCGCAAACCAATCGAGGTTCCAGTTCGACTAGGTTTGACTTTTTCAAACTTCTTGTGAAAAGTTTGATCGTTAAATTAAAATAACCACTTGCGTAAAAAAAAAAATTCTCTAAACCTAGACATGCTTGAATCAAGGTCTGGCCGCACTGTCTACAAAGTCGAACCAGTTGATTCTGGTTGAAAGGTCGAAGGTTCGTCGAACCCCGAAAGTTCGACCTAAAAATCCGGTTCGACAAAAGTTTGTGACATCCCTAAGGCCGGTTCAGACGCTTGCGTTTGACTGCGTTGCGGCGAGAACCGAAAGCGAGTCACCGGCACATCTGTGCTTCGTATGAAGCGTGGAATCCAATTCAAGGAATCGTCTTGGCACGCGATATAAGCAGCAGGGATCTCCTGGTTTCTCGCGGCCCCAACGCAGTCAAACGCAGTCAAACGCAACTGTCTGAACCAGGCTTTAGTTGTAGCAAGTCGTCCAACAAGGCTCAATGCCATATGTGTGCTGCAACTAGGGAGGTCGTCAACTGGGTGAGGTTCGAATTCAATTAGGTTCAACCTTTTCTAACTTTTATTGGAAGGTTCGAGAAAGTTTGACTTATGCGCATATGCGATGGGCTGCCTCAGTTGGCTTTGGATTGGATGGTAATGATCAAGTCAAACATTCTACTTGTAATAAGGGCAGCACTGTTTGGTTGTTATGGTACTAGAGCAAGAATAAATTATGTTATCAACGTTAAAGTTATTAGAATTATGTTCTGTTGATTGTAACTATTTATAAAATGAAATAACCTATCCCATAGAAACATTTTCTCCAAACCTAGACATGCTTGCATGTCTAGCCACACTGTCCATGGTTAGAAGTAAGAAGGTTCATAGAACCGGTCGAACCTAGAGCACTATATAGCTCCTTCGGAGCAGAGTAGCGCAATCTAGAACGCCGTCTCTCGGCGACTAGCGGCGAACGCCCGGAGATTCCAACTGCGGTCAGAAATGCATGGAGAACGTGAGAAAATCGTTGTTTATTCAGTTTTGTGGGGATGTACGGAATGGCAATCATTTTTGACATAATAATGAAACATTTTAGAATAACTTGCGACAAGTTTTGTGCCATGCAAGGACGTAACTTTCTTAAAAAATTGCCTGAGCGGCATCATGCAGCAGACGACATGGCGACGTCACACCATTCACGTGACCCGCTCCGGCCAACCCGAAAAGCCCATCTCCGCTGCGAGCAAAAATCGTCTGCTTCAAACGCCATTGCCTTGGAAATTGCCTTCTCAAAATTTGCACACGCATCCGATATTATTAAAACTTTGATAAAGTGTTTACCGCTTTACTAACTTTACGACAGGCTAGTTTTGAAAAGTGTGAACTCGCCGTTAATTTTTTAATCAGCCGTGTTATGTCCATCTCCATGTATTCTCCCATAGGGCGGGCTGCCTCCTGGAACCCTGAGTACCACGTGACTCGCGCCGAGCCGCTCTGTCGGCCATGTTGTCGGCAAAACACAGGGTTCAAAGGATTGCACTACTCTGCTCCGTAGGAGCTATATAGTGCTCTAGTCGAACCTTGAGGTTTGACATAAAAGTCCAGCTCGACGAAAGTTTGTAGCATCCCTAGTTGCCACATACATCTGTATCTGTAGGAGGAGCTCCGCCCCCGAACCCCGGTGAAAAATGGCGCTACTATGTAAATGCACAATTTTTCTGGAGTTGCAGAATCGGACTGTGGATCTGCAACGAGAGGTTGCGAGAAAGAAGTCAATAAAAGGTAACAAGACGTGTCCATCAACCAAATGCGAACTTGTGCCGACTAAACAAGCTGTTAATGAAACATTGTTGACAAACTGACTGCCACTGCCCTGGCACAGCACATATTTGTGCCACGAGTGTGCTGGAAGGATGATAAGCAGCCTCGCGTGTTCAGTTGCGCACACAAAGTTTGTATAAAAAATTAGAAGGATAGTGTTCTCAAACTTCCCCTTCATTCTGGAGGCCTATGAACGACAGGGCTAGAGCTCTAGGCGCTGCACAAAGGCTGCTTGCCACCAATGGACACCACTGGCCCAGATTTGTGGCGGCTCCAACTTTGACAGTGCCTCATTTCAGCAATATTTTTATTTGTCATACTTCAACAACTTCAATATCGTGCACAGTTTTACACATCACTGCAATAACTGACTCTATTTACAACTTCTCATAAAAAAGTAATATGCATCTTGAGTAAAAAAAAATAAAAAGTGGCATAAACATGCTTTAGGATGGTATTTGAAATGAATCTAACTCTAGGTGCATTCTCTGCAGCTTGAGGATGAGAACATCTGTACATAATTAAAAGGTCACTGTTTTTTTCGTTTCTTTTTAAGCTTGAGCAGGTGCCTTTGAAGGTTGTCTTTGACGTGGCGAAGAGTTTCGGGTGAAACCTGCGGCTCTGCTGAAGGGTCTTCTTTTGTTGGCTGATCGGCGTCCTCGGCACCTGAAACGGAATTCTCGTGTTCTTTCATTTTGCTGGTACAGGGTGAGACCATGTCAGCTGGTGCAGCGGCATTCAGGCCAGAGCAGTACAAATGCCATGCTGGGAGCCGGTACATTTAACCGCTCCTTAATCCAATTTAAAAATAAACTGAAGGCACTTGTGGGGGTCGGGACATTGCTTACTGATCTTCCTTTCGGCACACGTCATGTTTATGCTTGATACTTGTTCCACATCTTCTCTAACCCTTCATTGAAGAGATATGAGATATACTGCTTAAAACATTTAGTTTTTTTTATAATGTTTAACAAGATCAAATCAAACGACACAGCTGAAGTAAAAAAAAATTGTAAGGTAAACTTGAAAGTTATGTGGAGAGCAAGTCGTCTGCTCCTTGCGCAGGGGTTGCGGCAACATCAGAATGGCACCAAGTTCTAATTGGCTCTGATTGGAAGGACAGTGGGTAGACCTCAATGCTAGATGGCTTGAGGTCTACCCGCTATTTTTTTTAAAAAATCAGTCAACAACAGCCCGGCGTTTTGACATCAATGCAACCCCTGTGCAAGAAGTAGACGAACTTGTGCTTCGCATAGCTTTGTTGCCTGTGGGCAAAACCAGGCAGAAGTCCGAAGGTGGTTCCCTTGCTAAAATATGAACCACTATGTCAATAGTATCTGCGCATACGATAGCCTCAAGTAAAACAATCACCTATCATATAATGTTATTGGCAAGAGAAAAACCACCTATCTATATCTTTCGCCATTCTCGGTATTTGCGCGCAAGACGTATTGTTTCTTGTCAACTATTTGCATATCTTTTCACTGGATGGCGCTGTAGTTTCGATCTTCAAGACTGTTGCCACACTACTAGATTAAAAAAAATGTGATAAAACCAAAACTGTTAAACAAAAGAAAATGATTATTGTGTCAAAACATTACGCTTGTGACGCAATTATTTTCTGCGAATTTGTGGAAAAAACGAACCAGCCGAAATTGCCACTTTTTATATTAAAAAAAAAATAACATAAACAATAATACTTTTATCATAAGGTTTCCGTAAAATACCGGGCAAGCGCCCACTTAAACTTTGGAGATAATCGCAAAAAGATGGAAGATGGGCGCTTGTCTGGTCATCAATTTTACATATATATATGTGCTGTGCGTAGTTTCTCAGATCTTACAAATTTGGTAATGGGCACTTAATGTGGAATGGGCGGATGCGCAGTATTCTACGGTAAGTATATACAGATTGCGTTCGAAAATTATGAAACTCACTAAGTACTATACCTTCCGTTATACTTACTGACCACTCCGGCTGTGCACATGAATGTGATTTTCCACCTCTTCGTAATCTACTCTTTCTTGCGTCTTATTTATTTGTTTTTATGATAATAATTATGATTTTGTGTGTCTTGGGCACCGAGAAATAAAATATAGACGCTTTACACACGCGCCAAATTACAGCCGCCATTGCTGCCCTTCTCTTGTCTTACCGAGACGCCGAGCAACTGAAACGGTAGTTGACGATCCTCTAGAAAGGACGATGCTTTAGAAAAGGACACAGTTGAATCTAATATGTCAATAACCTGGCCTGCTATAGTAATGATGGAGTGAAATAAACAAAATAAGAGGAAACAAAAACTGAAGGTCAGTTATGCACATCCATGCACAGTTGCTGCAAAGCGTCTATAAAATTATGAAGCAAATTAAAAAGGTCGACCGGCCACTGTATGTTCGATCTTATCTGAATATAATGGTATATAAGACCATTACAACACAAGGCATCGAGCATTGAGCACTGTGAGGATCATTTTGCACGAGCTTAATGCAACTTTCACATTCCAAAATATTCGGGTTCATCAAGTCTGGATTATACGAGCCCTTTCCTGCCGCCAACATCGTCAGTGAAGAGGCCACTTCCAGAAACACGATGAAAACACGACGCTCAACCAGACATGCCCCGTTAATAACCGAATGGCAGCATGGCCGCCAAATGGATACTTTGGGCTTGGATTGAATTGAGGCCTGCAGCTTTCCCATTTGTTACTAAATCTAGTAGCTCTAACTGGATTTCGCCTAGTGTTGCGCCCTCTGTCCAATCCAATCCAAGGCTCGACTGGGTTTGTCGGCCGTTCCCTTTGCATCGGGTAGCACACTCTACGTCGGGTGAGCAGAGCCTGGGCTCCGCTCTAAGCAGAATTTATTGCCTATATTTCTGTACCCAAGTCCTCAAGCCTTCGCTCGGGACACTCGATGTTTCCGGCTCGTTTTCCCTGACTGGGCTCGCTTTTTGACAATATCCCTGACAATTCCCTGATTTTTCTTGGTAATTCAAATTTCCCTGACAATTCCCGGTCGCGAGACACCCTGGGTACAATGCGCATTCAGATGGGCATGGGCAGAAGTGGAAATTGAACCCCGGGATTACTGGGTTCCGCAGCACAAGCTTTCGTTCCACAAGCTCGGACGTGGAGATCGCTGCCCGCTTTTTGAATATATCCCTGACGATTCCCCGATTTTTCTTGGCAATTCAAATTTCCCTGACAATTCCCGGTCGCCAGACACCCTGGGTACAATGCGCTATCAGATGGGCATGGGCAGAAGTGGAAATTGAACCCCGGGATTACTGGGTTCCGCAGCACAAGCTTTCGTTCCACAAGCTCCGACGTGGAGATCGCTGCTCGCTTTTTGAATATATCCCTGACGATTCCCCGATTTTTCTTGGCAATTCAAATTTCCCTGACAATTCCCGGTGGCCAGACACCCTGGGTACAATGCTCATTCAGATGGACATTAGCAGAAGTGGAAATTGAACCCCGGGATCACTGGGTTCCGCAGCACAAGCTTTCGTTCCACAAGCTCCGACGTGGAGATTGCTGGCACAGATCCCTGCAGTAATAGGGACTCAAGGTCGTCAGCAATCAGCGTACCTGCTTCCACTCCCTCTGTATGGTCCTCTTGGAGTCGCCTTGCCAACTCGTTGAGGGAAGACGAGCTGTCCTGGCTGGCAGCTTCCGTTTCGTTGCATGAACCTGGAATAGATTGGCAAGGTAGCAATCAATGTTGATGGTTTCAGTCTCAAAAACATTAGAGCTGATGCAACAAATTTAAGGTGTCGCACGCCTATGAAGACGGTAAAGGCAAAGCTCGAACCTTGGGCTCCACTGTCGTGTGGCTGTAGACCTGCGGATGGTTGGGTCTGGCTGGCAGCTGCAAGGGAAGGGTTCGTGTCGTTTCGTGAAAACACGATTCGTAAGCGACTTCTAAAAATATATCTTTTTTATTGGTCTATTTGATTGATTCTAAGGCACAGATGTCCAGTTTGTTATGCCAATTTCATAACTGCGATCAAATTTAGATTATCTCTTGTTTGTCAAAAGTTAGACAATATAATAACTAATTAGCTAATTTCTTATATGGTTTCCAAATTATGCTAATTAAAATTTTGATTAAAACAATATATCAACTGCTCCTAAATAACTATTAAGCAAGACAAAACTGTTTTTATCTCTTTAGCACCTTATAATCTAATATGAAAACTGAAGTAATTGGAGGCCATACAATAAAGAAAGGCTGCAATGATGTCCAATTATGAGGTACCAGGTAGTTGTAGACTACCAAAAATGTAATAGCTTCAACTTGCAGTCGTTATTTCAATAGAAATTACCTCCATGTTTAGGAAAATCGGTTGAGCAGAAGTAAATCAAAATGCCCATCAAACCAAAAACTATGTTTAAAAAATATAGAAGCAGCTGAGAAATTTGATTGTGAATTTTGGGTATGCATACGTAAGAATGTCGGAGCTTCAGATTGGAGGAATGGCTTTTGACACAGGCTGAGAGATCATTCCCTTATGCAACAATTTGTTAGCAATACCTTTCTGCAGTTGTTAATTAAAAAAAAAAAGCCGTTTACAATTAATTCTCTGTAACGCCGGTTAGAGCGCAGCTCTTGAGGGGGAGGATAGAAGCGTACTGAGGGATAGGTGACTCCTTGAGGTCACGTGACCTCGGGGGGGGGGTCACGTGACCTTGTGGTTACGTCGACGGCGACGCCGCTCAAGCCAGAAACGGGCCCCTAAGAGCTGCGCTCTAAAATTCATACTGGAACCACTCTCCCCCATCGGTTGCCACAATCCAGATCGATCACTGCTTCAAAATCTGAAGTTGACAATTTTTTAACAACTAAACGAGTCATCGCTTTCGCTGTTCTTGTCTGGCGATGGGCGAGATCTTTTGTAGCAAGATTCTCGCTGTTGCATCCTTTTCAACCATGAGCAGGATTCTGACTGGGTCGGCCAATAAGCTTCTTTTATGTTCAAAATTGACCCAACCGATATTAACAATGCTTGGTTGTGAGGTTAGACCATATAGATGCAGCAAAGCTATTTTTGTTCTGAACTTGCTGAGAAATGTGTTTAGTAGGCATGCCACAACATGACTCTCGTTTTGAACAGTCCAAGCTTTTTTATGTTACACGACGACTCATTGCATATAGCAAGACAATGTTTGTGCATGTAAATGCTGACTAGTAGCAGACAACACTCCCGTCAGCTGCTCTGCGAGCTGGCACCGAACAATGCGGCCTTACTTTACTCAAACAGCCTTCACCATGCAAAGATCTTAAAGGGGCGATGCAGCAAATTTTGTACTATCAGTGAATGCTGGTTACAAATATTCCTCAACACTCAAAACCTATGATACACTCATCCATTTTTTTTTTTTTCTCCAAGCAGTCACAGCCGCAGAAAAAATTTGAGAAACACAAGCAGCGTTTATTCCCTCAACTTTCCATCAAAACAAGAAGCCACGTGACCTAGAGTCGATTACGTGCCGCCAATGTTTATCAGAGCCCCCTGCAGGGGTTGGCAAAGCACAGGGCAGAGATGCCGAATTCCACACATTGTTAATGTTCGGCTATTCCCGACGTCGCAGCCATTGGACACGAGCCGCTACGTGGGTGCATGCCGAGGCATTGTCTGTCACAAACTCAAATTGAACTGTCATGCAGTGCTTGAATTGAATTGTCATGCAGTGGTTGTGCCCACTGTATGAACCGCATTTACACATTGTTGACAATGCCTACAATGAGATCCCCACAACTTCGTCATTAGGTTTTGCAAAGAAGAGACCAAAAGAAGTTTGCTTTTATCTTTGAAATTATGCGAAGACAAAGAAGCCTCTTCGTCAGTGGCGCTACATGCCCAATATTGTTGCTTGGTACCTTCCAAGTTTCTCCACGTTACTGCAACACGCTCCACTTTCATCAATGCATTAGACGCTCAAGGATGGCAGAGCGATTGAAACGAACACCCCACGCTACCAGAAGCCGACGTGGGAAGATACTTCGCCGACACTGCCCTTTTTTCAACAAACCGGAATCCGAGAGAATAAACTTTAAAAGGAGACACTTCATGAAACACGTCAGGTCTATGGCCGCGAACGAAAGCACTTGTTACTTTAATAGCACCTGTTTGTCATTGGTGAGCACTATCCACTACAAACATCTGCTGTTGATAAAGACCCAACCATTCTTCACGCATTCTGCAAATGCATTGCAGGTTAGGATTTCCTTGACGGCAACTTCTAAAATTTAAGAAATGTCCTTGCCAACATGTCCAGCGGCCTGTCTGAGTTATTGAGCTTAACGAAGGTATGTTTTACACTTACCAATTTCCGGTGTATAAGTCAGGTTTTTTTTTTTCAAACATTTTTCTTGGTGCAACTTATAAGTTTTTTTTTTTTTTTTCGAGGTGCGACACCATTTTTTTTTATACGCTGCACACCATCTTTTGTAAAGCACCATGACTACGTAGCCATGGGTGGTGTTTCCCCCTCCAGGAGGTACTGCTGTCGCCGCATTAATTTAACTCGGAATGCGAGATATATTAATTTTTATGGCTTCCCCAAAGCGGCTCAATGTATATAGGCAAGACAGTGAAATAAAGCTTTTATGGCATGTTATTGATGTTACCTAGTTCAGCCATGGTTCCGTATTCTTTCGCTTCAGTTCAGTAATGCTGAAAAGTAAGTGGGCTGGTATACACGCATTGCAGAATATTTTCTCACGTCTTTCTTAGTTTCCGTTTGATGAGCAGTTTTCATGCGCCATGCTCCAGCCGTGTTGCTACATGTAAAAGGAAGGATTATGGCTAGCCGGTCTTTTAGAGGTACAAAAAAAAAAAACTATGTCAAGGATTATCTTTCTGCCTGCGCATCAACGCTCGCGTCGTCTCCGGGACTTAGCCGAGGCTAGGTCTAGTGCTCCAAAGCTTGGTTCACGAGTGTCTAGCTGCACTTCCGTTCTCTCGCCATGCGTTCGCTTGAACAAAGTCCACGACCTTCTCATTTAGCGCACTTTACGTCCTTTTGCTGCGAAACACTCCATTGCCTCTGCCAGACAGCACCATACAGTGGGCATTTCTCGCAACCCGAAATGCGCGTCAAACGGTACATGCGATCTAGCAATTGTGCAAAAAACCGATTCGCGCGTAAACTAAAGAACTCGCGTGAACCGTGCAAAGAGATGCGACTTATATACCAACTTTTCCACGAAAACTGATCAATATACGGATGTGCGACTTATACCGGAAATTACGGTAGTATACAACATGGACAATGCTACTAGTGCAATAGCGTACTTTCATCTATGGTTTCGTTTGTGCAAGAATGCATTCAAAGGATGGAAGTACCAATGCAGACAGTTTTGCACTTCAAACATTCTACAGGTAATACCAGCAGACCTTGTCACTGATATGACCTTAACCCCTTGCCTACTCATTTTTTTTCTTTAAAGATCGTACAGAAAGCTTTATTTAAATCAAGCAATTTGCGTCAAAATAAAGAAAAACGTTTCCTTGGCTTTCAGGCGTAGTCTCGTGCTCTATACCAGGACTTCTGGTCGTCTCCACTTCTTCAGTAGTTCCTCACAGTATGATAGAAATCGAGAGATTAGCAGAAACCTCACATAGGATATCGTTTTGCCAAAAATTGGGGTCTCCACTATGGACCTCTTGGACCAGTTCATTTTGACTGTGTGTTTTTTCACTTGCGTCATAATGATGCACAAGGCAAAGTATGCCTTTATCTCATCCGGAGTGGTGTCAAACCATTGCTCCTCATAGCATTTCTTGGGACGATCCTCGTCGTCCATCTCTTGTTCGGCGTAGCGATTTGTCTCAGAAGAGACAGACGCCCAAAAATCATGACTTGCAAACACGTAAAAGGTCGACAAGGCGCTTATCTTCACACCAAGACTGCGTTGAACCCTTGCTGACACACCTGGGGTTTCTACAAAGGTGAACTGAGCAGGCTGGTTGTCCCTCTTCTCCCAGTTCCACTGACGTGCAGACGCCGAAGTCGATGAAATGCTTCCAGGATTCGCATCGTTTTCAACACTTTTCTCACTGTCCGTTGAACTCTCATCGGATTCCGAGTAATCGGAAAAGCAGCAGGATTCGTCGTCAGAAATACTGGCGCATTCATCACTTTCAAAAAGAAGTCTTTGTATATCTTCGTCCGCCAAAGCAGACCTCCGCGCCGAAGACATGTTTTTGGCGCGCTTGCTTACAATAGCGCGCTTATTTTTTGTCAATGGAGCGCCCTCTCTCTATCAAAAGGCAAAGCAAACAAGAAAAGAACCCAAGGTAAACAGGAGCAACAGGGGTAGTGCTGCCATCTGCCGCAGAGCTCACAAAACAAGCTCTGAAACCGAAACACGAGTCATACTCGTGGTCGGGTTTTATGGTCCGTAAATGGCGGCACGAGTGACACTCGTTATTAGTAGGCAAGGGGTTAAATAGTGCTTGACAACATGTGGTTTCGTTAGCGGACGACACGCGGCAAGACAAATTGAGCAAACTGAGAGCAGCCACCTTAAGAGGTACACAAGGTCAAAAGATCAGCAATAAGCATACCTGCTTTCGCTACCTCTGCTTGGTCTTTCTCGAATTTTCTTGCCAACTTGTGGACAGAAGACAGGGAAGATGAGGAGTTCTCTTGGCCAGCAGCCTCCATTTCACTGCTTGAACCTGGGGTAAGTTATGAGGGTAACAATGTTGATCGTTTCTCAGTTTTAATTCCCTCAGAGGTAACTCAACATGAAATTTTTTTTTAACCTTAAAGAGCAGAGAAACAGAAAGACAGGACAACACGGATGTCAGTTCTTGACCAGCTAGCGTGCAACCTTGCATTGACTTAACATATATAGGGTGTCTCAAGTCACCAGGCTTTATCTAAAATGGGCCGTAAAAATTGGCACCTGCACGCAGCAATCTAAAATTTTCGTGACAGGTACATTTCACAGGTCTGTTTTATCGCGCAAAATTACAAAGCGTAGCAAACACTTGTCGGGGTCAACGAAGGGCGGCGACGAAGATGACCAAGTCGAGTGGTGGGGCACGTTTGGCACACTCATTGGTAGACGCCATTGGGAGCAGCGTCGAAAGGTGTAGCCAGCCAGTGAATGAAAGCAGACAACATGCAGACGAAATCTGCCGGCAGCAAAAGTGCCGTCGTTATGCAACCATGTTTTACTTCAAGTTTTGGTACATTACAAAAAGATTATGTTTATTTTAGTACACCACGGTCATTGCAAGCAGTCTCGATAAGGAGGTAGAGCCATCCATCAATACATTTACCAAACTCGGCCCGCCATTCGACTGGGTCGTCTGCGTCGCAGCCTGCCATTGATCCTGGCAAGTTTTTTGGCCCCATTTTTTTACAGGAACGGAGCCATGCTTTGTAATTTTACATGAGAAAGCTGACCTGCGAAATATGCCTTTGACGAAAAGTTTAGATTGCTACGTGCAGGCGCCGATTGTTACGGCTCACTTTAGATCGAGCGTGGTGGCTTCAGATACCCTATATGTTTCACGCAACCGTGATGTCAGTAAAAGCTAAGTTCGAACCTCGGATCCCACTGTCATAGGACTGCAGAGCTGCAGAGGGCTGGGTATCGCTGTTACCTGCGAAAAAAGGCCCCGCATCATCCCGTGGAGACATGTATCGCGGACAACTTCTGTCGACACTGACATTTTGTGAAAATTTGTTCGCTCTCGTGACGTTTCGACAATAATGCTCTTGCTAGGTGGATCGAATTCTATGAATGGCTACACCTTGCTCGCTAGGATTCCAAAATTATAAGAGAGCCACCCAGGCAGCTTCAACATAATGCAACAAGAAATCCTCAATTCCTAATTTTAGTTTTTCAGACAGGCCGCGCCACACGCGACCACCTCTCGCATTGCTTTGCACGGGGAAAACAAACCATTATCTTAGGGTCGAGCTTGTGCCAGGCCTCGTTTGAACCATCGAGGGTTCGGCAAGCTAAGCAACCATCAGGGTGCAGGTGGCCAAGGCGATGTGCACGGAAAGAAGCCGTCGACGAAGCGTCGCAACATGTCGAGGAAATGAATGCGGTTACCTCTCTACGAAACAAACTGTTGACGAAATGTTGTGCTTCAACGAAACTGTCCGTCAATGAAACATTGTTTGACAAACCGATTGCCTCTGGTGGTTCCCTCTGCAATGCCTTCCGGATGCACATCAGAACTCGCAAGTCGGGGGCAGGTTCGTTCAGGAGGTTAGGCGCATAGTCCGGATGGGCAGCTGCGTGAGACGGCTGATCTGGAAGAAGGACCACGACTAAGTTTTTTTTCTTACCCCTTAAATTACAAGTAGAGCCCAAATCCATTCATCAATGTAAGAAAAGTCTAAATGCAGAGGTCAACATTCCTGAAGCGTCGTCGCTGCCCTTCATGGGGATCGGTGGCCAAGCGTGTCGGCACACCGCAGCTCCGAGCAGGTGGAGTGAAAGCCCGCGCTGCAGAGCCCTAGGATCCTGGGTTCGATTCCCACCCCTGCCCGTTCCTATCTAGAAGAGCATAGCTTGGTGGTATGTATTACTACTGTGTGAAGCACATTAAAGACCAAGGCTAGCAGCAGTACTGCACTGGCTAAGCTTCTCATCTACGTCGGGTCATTCCATGCAAAGAAGACATGGCGATTTTTTCACGTTTAGAACATGAATGAAAAAAATAATCTAGATAAAAATGCCTTTAAATTAAAAAAAAAAAACATTTTTGCTGGTGTTATGTTTTTAATTCCTAAAATTTACATAAAACTTCATGTCATTTAGAAATACAAAGTAAAATAACTGCTGCATAGAACTAAAGAAATTTGTTGGTGCCTAATTACACATTAACCCAAGTCTATCTTACAGTAAAATTCAAACACTAAAAAATGCCATTTTTAATTAAAAAAGACAAAAAAAAAAAAAACTACAATTTTTATTTTAGTTAGCTACGATACTTTTTTGTCATCTTGAAACTAATAATTGATCTGCCTAAATTAAAATTTCAAAGCCTCGTTTTGTTGTGCTTAAATTAAATGACAAAGTACCCAGTTTACGCAGAAATGGTCATACTGCCATGCGCGTCTCCGAGCAAACGCACCGGTGGCCGAATGGTTATCATGCTTGGCCTTCGCGCAAAGGGGCGAAGTTCGATGCCTGGCTGCGGATGTACCTCTTTGTTGGTTCTGTAAATGTCACGTTCTGGTAAATTTGAGAACCCCGTTGCTTGTTCGATTGTCCGAACATTCTACGGACCAAACCCTTGCTTTTTAGCCGACACTGATGCCTGCAACGCTAGCCTTTTTCTATTTTGTTTTGGGCACAAGTTCACCCCATTAAACGATTAGCTTCCTTCAGTCATTCGCTGCCTCACCAATTATCATTTGTGGCAACATACAGAGTAAAAAAAAAAAAAAAAAGCAATGTGGGCAATGGTGCCCGCAATCTCGGAAACAGCTAAATTAGCTAGCTGTTTCCAACATATAACAACACCTGTTCAATATATGAAAAAATCTGAAAAATACTTTTTACTGTTGTTACAAACGAGGCATCTGCCTCATTTGTGACGTATGTGCCAGCAATAACCTTAATCTGCTGTTTTTGAAAGAACTGGTGCCACTCCGCAGAAAACGGGGTTCGAGGTTTCCAGGATGAAACAATGTGCGCACCAGAAAGGAGAGGGAAGAAGTGTACGTCTTTGAACGAACTTGTCAGCAAAAGGGAAGCAATGACAAGCACAAAAGGAAGTTATTGGAGCACAATCTAGGTCGCTGCAGCTCAATGGAGGTTCCTTGGCCGAGGGAGTGCCTGCGCTTGCGCGAGCATGTATGTGGTGATGCATTTTCATATCAGAACCTCCCGAACCGGCGATTTCCAAAGATGGTGAATTTAGCAGGTGATAGCAGATCTACGAATTGTCCCCAAGCACTATTCCAGCGTAACAATAACTCGTATAAGTAAGCCAATGAACGGAGTACAATGAAACTTTCCACAAAAGTCTTTAGGCAGTGCATTTATAATATCAAAAGTTGGCAAGTACGCCTCTCAAGGGATAAAAAAAAGTGCCATTTTTTTGTACAGAAAAAAAAAAAAACCGTCCGGTTGACGCTGCTACTCACAGACTATACCACACAAGCTTGGATCTGCTGCATCTGCCACTAAATGTTCTTTCCAAAAACACTTTTAAGTTTTTTGGTTCTATTATGATGCCATTTGACAGTGCCAGCAATAAACTGACAGCTTACTTCATTTTTTTCCCCTGTGAATAGAAAAAAAAAGGAGCTTTCCGGCTCAAGTCTTTTTCAAGAAACCTACATTCAACTACCATAAACGCCTCACCTAAAGACACCCTCATGAAAAGTTTGATTTCACTCCATTTGTCTGCTTATTTATAAATTATTTTTTTTATGCCCGAATAGTGCTCAAGAATACCTTGTGCGTTGTTTCTAGCAGGGCACCCCCGCCCCTGTGGGCAAGTGCGCGCTCCAAATTCGATTATGCGGAGACGGTTTTACCCGCCAGCAATTCATAGCTTTTTCCTCGTCAGATGTCGCCTTCCGATTGCGAAGCAAACAAAACGAACGCCAATGCCCCCTGCTGCTCAGCTCTCGCTGCACCCACTCACGGCGGGTGAACACTATCAGTCGCAAATGTGTGAACCAGCCTTTATGCTCTAGTCTCAACCTATGGGTGAACAGACTATAGTCATAGTAAGGCTGCCTTGCCTTTTCTACAGCTTTCGGAAATGTGTCTGTTCTTTACGAACAAGCCTTCGAAAAAGAGATGATGAGATGGTTTGAAAAGCTGGTCGTTTTTGTCGACTTGAAACTGACGGACATGCTACGTACAATGAAGGAAGAACTCGCGACCGAGATGTTTGCAGCTCACACGGTAACGGTACAAGATTCCGGCAGTATTTTGGTCATACCTGACAAAATCGCCATACGGAGTAACTTCTTGCGCTTCCGGTCCTCTCTGTTCACCTCTGTCGTCGACCTGCTCTGTTTCGGTTGAGACGTACTGGCCGTCGACTCCAACAACTTCTTGCGAACGCGGTACTCCTTGTTCACCTGCGCGCTCGATTTCGTCTGCTTCGCTGGCGACGACAACTCCTTTGCTTGCTTCTTCCGTCGGCGGTATTCCCTCGATCGCTCGGCGGCCGATTTCGCTACGGTGGCTTTGGGAACCCTCTTTCGTTCACGGTACTCTCTCATTCGCTGCGCGGCCGATTTCGCAACGCTGGTTTTGGGAACCCTCTTTCGTTGGCGGTACTCCTTCATTCGCTCTGCGGCCGATTTCGCTGTGCTCGTTTTGGGGGTAGGCGTCGAGGGAATCTCTTTGTGCTGCATCGTGCTCCGTAGCTCCATCATGCCGATGCGATGGGCGTCCTACATAATTTGTAACTGTTGAAAACCACAGCTGCTGCAACGACCTAAGCGTAGGGGAAGAAACGAAAGCGGAGAGTGGTTTGTCTCTTACCCTACCGCTGCCAATATTTGCTGCGTCATTTCAGGCTCCTTCGGATTCCAATCGTCTTGAACGTCTTCTTCCCCATCTTTCCCCGCCGCTTCGACATCGCAACGCCGACACCCTCGGCACGATCAGCGCAACACACCAACGACGTGGGAATCCCGTGTTCACACGCATCATCATCACCGCTAGAAATTGCAAATTTCTTTCACTAATAAGGCAAAGCAACACGGTAATAATGTTGTATATATCTTTAAATGGCGGTCAAGATGCTCACTGATCTGAAACCACCTACACGCAAAACAATACATAGAAAACTATCGTAAAAGCTTGGTCCGCTGGCCAAGTTGGTACTGGACGTTCATATTAAAAACAGCGTAAAAAAGACGGGACAAAGAGACGAAGCACACAGGACATGCGCTTGTCCTGTGTGCTTCGTCTTTTTGTCCCGTCTTTTTTGCGCTATTTTTAATAGAAAAACTATCGCTTTCGTTATTAGTCCAGATGGCGCGAGCTACCGCCCGTTACAAAGCGTTGTCAATACATCCATCCGCTACCGTTCGTTCCATTCCCGATCGCGTGCTTCGTGCAGCACGCTGCCGACGCTGCGACGCGGCCTGCTTCGTGAAACCCAGAAACCCCAAACTCGTGGATGGCGTGGACACGCAAGGACGCCAGGGTGGATATTTGAATATGTACGTGGGCTCACTGTCATCTTCTGTGCTGTTGTCACGAAGGTCCGCGAGCCTTTATGCCGCAAGCGCCAGGAAAGGTTTCTGACGACACAGGATTGCGCTTATCAACTGAAAAGCGACGTCCGCAGAGGAGAAATCTACGAATCGATGCCATTCGCCGCACAAGCGCCGTCGGTACGAACATTGGTCGGTATTCAGTGGATAACCTCGCCGCGCTGCAGAGAGGCAAGTTCCTACTGGAAATCAAAGCAGCCGCTTACCGAAAAGGATTGTGCGTCTCTCGGGATCCCTCGTTTTAGATAGTGCAGTGGCGTTCTGGGCGTATTGACGGCCCTGCTTCTTGTAGTACGATCGTTTGCAGGCTTCTCTTCTCTTCATACGACCCTCCGCGGTAGCAGAACGGGCCCGCTGAGCTATTCTATCCCTAGTCAAACGCCTGTCCCTCTCCTCCGGCGTCTCTCTGGCACGTCGCGCACGGTCGTACTCGGCAGGTCGCTTCTTCTGCTTCCGTTTAGCCATAGCTTCATGCCTGTCGGCTGCCCGCTTCAGACGGGGTTCGTTCTAGGCGAGTTCGAACCCAGCTGGGCGAGCAACTCGCTCCTACAAGTCGGAGACATTTCAAGCACAGTGGAATCATAACCAGTGGTCCCACTCAAGGCCACTTCCGGTAATCGCGCATACACAGCGCTCCTCAAGCCGGATGGCGACAACTGAAGTTGTCAAACAAAAACAAACAAAAAAACGGGGTCAAAAAGAATCGCAATTAACTAAATTGAGTGCGTTAATGTTATTATTTTTAGAAAACATAATAAGCTAGGTAATAATCATAAACCAACATGGAAAGAAAAAATCGAGCAGTTACCGTTAGCTTCAAAAAGTTCGTTGCCCTAACCGAAGCCGTGTCGCCGGTCGCGTTGTCGGTGTTGCTGTTCTGCCGGGGACTCACTTCGCCGTTCGAGATTCCGGGATTCCGCTTCAAGTTCGTTGCTGGTGAGTGCAAACATTTTGAAGTGCTCGTGCTGTCCTTCGCGTCAGGCCATGGCACGATCGTCTTTTCTCCAACGAAGTGTATGTGACTCGATTAATTTCTTAGTCGTATGTACGTCGGACGTGACTTGTAAAACGGTCGAACGTAATGAATTGCTCGTTCACGCGCAACCTCCACGTATCGAAACTTTCACGCCACTTTACTGGAAAAATATAGATATAGTAGCAAATGACGCGGATCAGGACCGAACCTCGGATTTGCTAATGTGTAAAATCATAAAAGAGAAGTTGGCATCATAGCATAAGATATAAAAAACAAAACAAAAAAACACGCAACATTATAAAAAGTGAATTTACCACTTGTTATATATTTGCATTTGGCTAAGCAAGTTGACTGGGTACATTGAACATAATTCTGAATTAACTAGTCGGATGGATGTCCCTTGAAGGAAATTAACGGGAAGGCACCTCCAAAAAAAGTGTTGCTCAAACATGCCAATTTCCTGGACTCACACCTGTCTTCTCTCTCTCCTCAGGATACCCTGTGGGTATGGCAGCATCTGGCACCTGTCGTCCAGCATGCGTCGAGACCCCTCCTCCCCCCGTCAAGCTCCAGACATTATTTATCTCCGCTTGGCACGTCATACAGTAAGACCCACAGTACTTATCTAATTTAGAAGTATAAGCAGGGACAGATCCAAGGGGGGGCGACGGGGGCGCCCCCCCCCACACACACACAAACAAAGTCGACCCCCCCCCTCCCCCCATCTCGGAGGGCAATTTGACATGGCTGGACCCCCCGGTGCACACGAAAGAAGGGGAGAATAGCATCCTTACAAACTTTCTGCCCCCCCCCCCCCCCCCCCCCCCCCAAACGGAGTTCTGGATCTGCCCCTGATTATAAGGTGTGTCTCGCTTCGTCCATTCACTGTATACTGTTACTTTCTTGTTCCAGTACGATGGTTCCTCGGAGAATCACAGAGAATACCACGAGGGCGACAAACGTGTGGAGGCAAGCTGCAAGGGCCGGACACCAGAGACAAGGACCATCAGTAACCAGGGGGATGAAGTGAGGAAACTCAAGAGGCAGCTCATCATCTGGGCCACAAGAAGAAAATCGGAGACCGTACGCTGGGAAATTTGTCGACCCTCATCCTTGGGTGGCATGAGCATTTTCTGGTCATATTCGTACGTGAGGTGAACTGTTACTGGAACTAGGTTGACTCATCCTTCTGCAGCTTACAGGGCATTACCAAAGCTACGGCACCAACGAGACAACCGGAACATTTGGCTGAGGGACGGGACAACATATTGTGGGAGTATACACCTCCTACGGAGAGCTCTCACAAAACTTGCTTCTTTGCTCTGATTAGCTCCAAAGGGCGGCAGTGCTTTTCTTTGTAAAATTAGGCTGAAACAGATTATAGCTGTAATAGGGCCACCGAAATTGACATTGCAGCATAACATTCCTCATGAGGGTTCTGGCATCTATTCTATGATCTCTTATGCAATTATGAATGTCGCAGCCACAAGTGGTCACTTGACAATAATCTGCAACTCGTCATATGACAAACTGTGTATATGGTTGGGTAAGTGCACTAAAGGTAGTTCTGCATATCTGGGAAAAAACAGTGACTGGGAGGGCTCTAGCTCTTACTAAAGTGGCAAAGCGGGCGAGTTGGTTCATGATATAAAATTTAAAAGCGCTAAATGTTCAGTTGAGAGTAAGCGCTCGTCCTGTTCGCCTTCCTTTTTGTCTTCGTCTTTGTTAGCGCTTTTAAATTTTATCTCTAGCTCTTCCTCATCACGATCTGTCTTAGGGATCAGCACGACAACCACAGGTGGTTGTCGTGCCCGTAGACCTCGTTCTGAAGTCACCGGAAGAAAACAATAACCGGTTGCTCCCATCATGTTGTGTTAGCCAGTGGTCAAGAACAAGATTTTTTCTCTTGAGCTTGGACAAAGTGTTCTTCAATTAGTTTTCTCAAAGCCCCTTTGACACGCAATGGCACACATAACCTAGCTCAGTGGACACCCTACCTGTTAATAGCGTTTCCAGTTTGTGCTAAATCACGAAAAGAGCCCTTGCAGAATAAGGTAGTGTGAAAAAGTAAATTTTTAATTCTTCATGCCGGAGATTCCCATCTGTTGGAGTTTGGATAGAAACAAGCTGTGGTCTGCGCTGTTAAAAGCCTTTCTGAAGTCTAACTGGACGATCTTGCACGGAGTTTGGTTGTCGAGGCTGGTGCTGAGTGCATAAGTGAAAGCTGCAAGGGCCGATTCGCAGCTCCTGCCGGGCGGAAACCATATTGGCGGGGGCTCCATTGTTTGGTTTAGCCATCGCAAGCCTTCGGACGGAAAACGTCGTAGCAGTTGTCTGTGTCGCGAACTCAAGCCGAGTTTAGATAAAGTTATATGTGCCGGAACTAGTCCTGGGTACTGTCTCTCCTCAACATCGGGCCCCGACGTTGCGGAGAGACAGTACCCAGGACTAGTTCGCGACACAGACAACTGCTACAACGTTCTCCGTCCGAAGGCTTGCGATGGCTAAACCGACCTTTTCTTCCCCTGGCCGCAAGGCGAGGATTCTTTGTAATCTGGCGCGAACGCCACGGTGGGACACACACACACACACGTGCCCGCACGCACAGCACTGAATGAGTCGGTAATACACTCCGTCACAAGTGGATGTTAGACTTGAGGGAGCACCGTGTCCCTTTTTGAGAGGCGTTACTGACTCAACTTTCCAGGATTTAGGAACAGAGCTGTGGGAGAGAAAATCGTTGAGGCGAGTGAGGACGGGGGAGATACAGCCAGCACAGGATTTAAGCAATGCAGGGTGGAGGCTGTCTGATCCAGGGCGTTGAGAGGAGTTGTCACAGGCGAGGGCTTCGTAGGTTTCACTTTGAAGAATGACTATGGAAGAGAGTGCGATTGCTGGTGTGGCCTTGATTGGCTGAGTTGTGGGTTGGGTGGGACAAAGGTTAGGTGCGGTAGGGTCAAGTAATGCTACAGCCCGAGAAATGTGGTAAGAGAAGAGCTGTGCTATGTCGTCAAGATTAGAATAGGGCCTGCCGCGATGTGTGAAGACCGGCGCGTGGAACTTTTTTTTTATAGTGAAAACATGCCCAAGAGTTTGGGCTGGCAGGTTGCTTTTGCTCTTAGTTGGTAGGTAATCGTTATGGGAGATATGAATGAGATGCTTGACTTCGGTACGTGCCTGGTGGGCTTGGTAAAGATGAGTGGGATTTAGGGGCACTTTTTTGAATAGTCAGTGTTTACGTCTGATTAAGACTGCAATCTCCTTTGTCATCTATGGAAGGCTGCCGTGCCTCCTGTTGATCCTTAGGGTGAACACATTTGTGCTGAATTGCTGATATGTTGAGTGAGAGGTCGTCGGCCTCGT